GTACGTGGTCACCCAGAAGCACAGCTGGACAGAACCGCTTACATCTGTTTTTTCTCATTGTACTTCTCAATATGTCCTTGAAACATGGAACAGATGGAGAAAGGGAGCAAGGCTCAGGGACTTAGGTAACCTGCTAAGATTACACTGTAATCACAGACGAATTCTTCAGAATCAGGAGCAAAAGTCCATTCAAAGTGCCTGCGTTCCATTTTTGTTCACCTGCCATGCTTTGGTGAACATCTTTATGACCATACTAACTAAATAGTCTAAGGCTACTCAATTTACCTTCATCAACTAAGTATGCCCTTTGTATTAAAGGCTACTTTCTGATTCGTTTGAAGAATTGCATTCCTTTAAATATAAAAGGCTTCTGCTTTGAGACAACAGAAACCTCAGACAGGGTAGTACATTGTTTGATTTTGAGTCCTGCTGCTGTAGCTCCGAACAATACTTGGAAAGTGGAAGAGGTTTTGGGAGAGCCAGGAGCTGCCACACTGACCAGGAGGGCACATTATCTGGCACACAATAAGCCAAGGTAACAGATACTGCTGCTGCTACCATTACTTGAAATACATATTGCTATTTAACACGTATTCATTTTCTTTATTACTGTTCATGAGCCTTCTTGCTATCATTTCTCTCATTTATGCATTAGATTGAAAAGGATAAATCTTAAATCACAAAAGTCATTGCTGTCAGAATTACACTTTTATAGCATTTAAGAGGATTGCCTTCAAAGTGGGGTCAATGGCAGTGGCACTTATGAGGGAAGTCATGAAGGTTCTAAACAATCCGTTTCACTTTGGCCGAGTCTATGAAAGAGGGAGCAAGCTAGTTCTACTCACTATAGAGCAAGGTTCAAGCTTCCCTTCAAAAAATCTGTCAAAGGACGCTTATTGAGCTGTCCAGCTACAGCTCTGCTAGTCACAGAAGCCTCATTTGTAAAAAATTAGTGAATTTAAAAGGATCAGGATCCTTACTGGACTAATTATTCTAAGAAAAAGCTAGAACATGAAAGAAATCTAAATATAGCAAACTTACAGTGCATGTCCCCGGTTTCATAAAAAGGAATAGTTACTCAACAAGGACATTTGCTCATCCATGTTCATAGCAGCTTTATTCATAATAGCCAGAAACTGGAAACAATCCAGATGTCCATCAAAGGAGGAATGGATACAGAAATTGTGGTACTTTTACACAATGGAATACTACTCAGCAATTAAAAACAAGGAAATCATGAAATTTGCAGGCAAATGGTGGGAACTAGAAAAGATCATCCTGAGTGAGGTATCCCAGGAGCAGAAAGACACACACGGTATATACTCACTTATATAGACCTATAAGATAGGATAAACATACTAAAATATGTGCACCTAAAGAAGATAAACAATAAAGAGGACCCGGAGTAATATGATCAATCCTCACTTAGAAAGACAAATGGAATGAACATGGGAAGTAGGAGAAAACAAGTAACAGGACAGAAGCCTACCACAGAGGGCTTCTGAAAGACTCTACCTAGCAGTGTATCAAAGCAGATGTGGAAACTCAAACCAAACCTTTGGCATAGTTCAGGGAATCATATGATAAAAGGGGGGGAGTTAGTATGACCAGGAGAGGACAGGAGCTCCATAAGGACAAAATATATCAGGGCACAGGGCTTCTCTATGAGACTGTTTCTGTAACCATGGACCAGGTATGGATATAACCTAGAACCCCTGCTCAGATGTAGCCCATGGTAGCTCAGTAACCAAGTGGGTTCCCTAGTAAGGGGAACAGAAACTATTTCTGACATGACCTCAATGACTTGCTCCTCCCCCCCCCCAAGGGAGGAACAGGCTTGCTAGGTCACAGAGGAGGACATGGTAGCCAGTCCTGAAGATACCTGATAAGCTAGGGTCAGATAGAAGGGGGAGGAGGACCTCCCCTAGCAGTGGACTTGGAATGGGGCAGGGAGGAGATGAGGGAGGGAGAGTGGGATTGGGAAGGAATGAGAGAGGGGGATACAGCTGGGATACAAAGTAAATAACCTGTGATTGATATAAAAAAATAAAAATTAATAAAAAAATTATCAAATCAAAAAAAGATAAACAAAAAGTAGCCTCATCAAAAAGAGGAAGGGGTAATATCTTTACTATTTCACCCACAGTTTTGAAATTTTACGAAAGAGTTAAAAAGGGGGGAACTGGCAAGGAATACGTAGAAGAAAAATAAATCCCTTGAAGTCTTCAGTCAGGAATAATTGAATTGTTATAGTTTCAAAACGCATTTCTCCAGAGGACTGGGGGCAGAGGCAGTGTGGTATGAGCAAGACCGTAGGTTTGATATTTTTTCATAGGAACAGAACCCGAACTGGGTATGTGTCCCTAGTGTGAGAACAGAGTGTGCGGTGTGTGGAGTATATAGAGTCAAGCCGACAGGCATGCTGGGAAGCACTGAGCAGAAGAAAGTGTATGCTAAGCTCTTACTTCCCATGATGAGCCAGTCAGTTTTCAACTGCTGCTGCTTCTTGTTTCTGACTCATCCTGATTGAGAGAAGTGAGCACCGTCAAGGAAGCGGTCTGAACGGGCACCATTCAGGGATAAACAGGCTCGGTAACCCAGGCTGCATCCTGAGTGGGCAGAATGCAAACCGACAAAGGCTAGAGAGATAGTTCAGTAGGCAGCGTCTGCAATGCCAACACGAGGACCCCACAGACGACCCCCATCCTGTATGAGTGTGGTGCTACCCTCTTACTCTCAGAAGAGTGTAGGGAGAGACGGGGATCTCTGGGTTCCCTGGCCAGCCAGCCTAACCTACCCGGTAAGTTTCAGGCCAGTGAAAGTCCTCATCTCAAAAATCAAAGCAGACAGTTTTGTCCCTAAAGAACAAAACTCAAATCTTCCTGCTTCCATACACACACACACACACACACACACACACACACACACACACACAGAAGCACATACACAAGCACACACACACATGCAAGCAAACACAAACACAACAGCACACATGCACACAATAGCACCCCTAGTATATTGCTTTTCCTAGAAAATTGTCTATTTGCATATATAGAACTAGATAAAAAAAAAAAACAAAAACAAAAAAAAAACAAGAACAACAGCTGGGTTGCCTTTTCCATAAGATACTAACCCCCAAATCACAGGAAACTGCTCCAATATACAAAATGCGTGTTGGATCCACATAACTCCAGAAAGCCTTTCCAGATTCAAAAACATCAGTATCAGCCATTCAAACATGGAGTCCACACAAGGATGATTTCATTCCAAAGCAAAGTTCACTTTTCAAGTACAATGTCTCCCTTCGGTTGAAATTAAATGGAAATTAAAAAAATAAATAAATAAACTAAATTTTCAGGCCTGATTATTTTTGACCCATGTGAACTTTTCAATAGTTTTTTTTTCCTACAAAACAAGCAAACAAACAAAAATCTGGGAGGTTCATTTCAGTATCTTCAAGTACTGGAAAACCAAAATTAAAGTAATTCTTCCATTCCAGAAGTGCTCACATGTGTTGAAGAACATCAGGCTACCTACCCGGGCAGCATGAAAGGTTCCAGTCCCAAGGGTTTGATCCATATCATTCAAATAAGTCACACAGGGAGAAACCACTTTCAGAAAAATATGCCTGAGAGAAAAGTCTAATATTTTCTTTTGTGTACCATTTTTAAAGAAAAGCCCAATATGAGTCCTCAGCGTTAGTTTTATGAAATCTGTACATTTGTTCTAATATTTCCATAAGTAGAACTAAATCATGCAAGCATGCCAGCAGGAATTATCATTTGAATTCGTAACAAGGGGCCTGAGGAAGCCTGTTAGCTCTCCTAGAATTTCATTTCCTGTTTGATATTCTTAGATTACCACTATCAGGCCTGTTAAATGCTGCTCTGTGAACCACTGGCTCAAGCAATGATAGATTTTTTGATTCATTTTGTTTGATTCAGATGCTGGGGATGAAACCTAGGGGTCCACCTAGCTAGCATTCATGCTACAGTGGAGCTACACTCCTGGTAAATAACATGTTTTCACACCATATAGTTAGAGGTTTTGTTCTGTTGGCCTGCAGGTAAAGCTTTACCGCCAAACACCATCTATGAAGACAGACTGACAGAGCAAGGCAAGTTACAAAAGGCGCCAGCTGCCTTTGGGATTTCGCCACTGCTGCTGAGTGAGTATGATACAGTCTCTTTAACACATTCTGTAGATTGGCAGAGGAACATGGACATGCATTTATTGAAAAGCTCATCAAAGAAATGCTTTAAACTAGACCTGAATTAAAGGGAAGAAAGAATGGCTCAGAGTTTTATTGTCAATGATCTTAACATGGCCCCCTGTTTTATATCAAACTTTATTCAATGCTTTCCATTAGTAAGTATCAGGAGCTAGTTTTACTTAATCACCGCTAATTCTCTAAGCACCCATTGATCCAGAGGCACGAAGGCACGAAGCATGTTTCACAGTAAACAGGCCAAACTCATCTGGGACCCTGTCTAGGGATGTGGTTCCAAACCTTTTCTAATTTACTCACTAGCTCTCACATTTGAATTAAGGGCTTCTGTACATAGTTTCCTCTGCCGCAGCAGACTTTAATATGAAATTGAGGAAGTGTGGGCTAGATATCCCAAACAGCTGGGTACTGTGCTTTTGACAGTTGCTTCAGGTGACATGACAAGCTGAAGAAAAAAACAAAACAAAACAAAACTATCCAAACTAGGCCTCAGATACTATGTCTTGGTCTTTTTGTTTGTTTTTTATTTAACATTCAACGCCACCAGATTATCCTAAAACTAACACATATGCGGTGTCCAGGCATACTCTTAAGTATATTTGGCAGGGAGGAGGTATTTATATCAACTTAATTTGAAACACAGTAGGAGGCCTTTTCTACTCCAAACAGAAATCTCTTCTTATTCCAAGCTCAGCACACCACACCTCCATAAAGACCGAGGGCACATGTGAGCATGTTCACTGAGAGAACAAGCAAAAGTATGTATACTTACATGAAGAAGTATTTGCGCCTTCTGTTGATACAGATATTCTAATGGGAGACTCTATAAAACATAAAAATGGAGTGAAGCTTTATTGAGTCGTGCCACTTAGAAGTTAAAATGTTACCAGGCCCTGGAATTGCCTAGAAAAGCTATGCTAAAAAGCAGTGCAAAGAGCCAGACAGAAGCAGCCCTAAAACAAGTGAAGATGCGCACACTTCTGAAAGAGATAGAAAAGGAGAGAGCCCACCTGTAAAGACATCCCACAGACCAACGGTGAAGCGAGCGTTGGAGGAATCTCATTCTTGGCAAGGCCACACCACAAGTGAAATCGGTCATTCCTTGTCTTAGGTACAGGCTTGAAATGGGAGAGAATACCACTGCAGCAGCGTGGTCAATTTTCACACATTCAATTAACAAGAGTGAAAAGGTTTTTTTGGGGGGAGGGCAGTTTGGATCAGCCTAAACATCCTGACCAACACGGTGCCAAACAAAGTCGATGCAGGTTCCAGTGCAGCAGTCACACGAGGAGCTGACAGAACGTGCTGAACAAGCAAAACAGGTTAAGGATGTACAAGATTTACAAGGATGGAGGAAGAAAAAAAACAGCATTTTAGTATTGACAGGGCATAAGAAATGCAGGGAGGAAAATGAAACCTAAAGATTTTCAACCCTAGAAACTCAGAAGATAAAAAAAAAAAAACAAAAAAAACAAACTACTTAGTATTAAAGAAAGTTGAAAATCAACAGCTAAAACATCATATTCAGGTCACTTTTCAGGAAATATTGAAGACAATCTAACTTCCTTATAGAAGCACCATAGAACATTCAAAGCCTAGTTTCCTAACAATGCCTACTGGACCTGATAATGAAGTCTTCACACTGCACAAATATCTGAATGACAGGTAAAGAGGAATTTCCTTAATTCTTCGTTTTCCCTCTACCCCTTCCTGTCTTCCTTTTCTTGCTGCCCTACATTGCTTCCCTCTCTCAGATTCTGAAAAGCGGTGTTGAAAGCAAGAGTAAGTACTAAGGAGGTAGGAAGAAGAAGGCTGTGTAGGTTTCTCTGGGTGACCATAGCTTTGAAATGGTTTGGCCGTGGTGAGACATGGCAGCTGGGCCAAACCATGACTAGGGAGAGGAACAGTGCAGAAGAGTACTGAGCTCTGGGATCCCACACTTCTTCCTGAGACACACAACATAATATATTTAGCACTTCAGCTATCCTGGACTGTAAAATGGAAGGAAATAATGACTGTGTCATGACATTGTAAAATTAGCAAGTGAGTTACAGTCTTCATAAATTGAAAAATAAAACAGAGAAAAGCAAGCCATCACTTAACTTGAAAAGAGAGAGAGAAAGGAGACCATAAATTTGAAAGAAATCATGGAGGGATATATAAGAGAGTTTGGAGGAGAAAAGGAAGAGGACATTTATGTAATTATAAGATTAAAAGAAACTGAACTTTCAATCTTAACTGTCCACAAATTTTCTGCCAAATAAACACTATTTTTTAAAATTTCCCCAGGTTCTATTAACCACAAAAATAAAGTTAAGTGTACTGCTCACTCCTCATCAAGGGAATTTCTCATTGTAATAGATGGAGACCATTACAGAAAACCACAGCGATCAAAATGCAGAGTCAAGACACCCACTCCCAATGGACACATGTACAAAAACACTCCCACACCTTAGGCTCGAAGAACATTGCAAAAGGGGGGGGGCGTGGAAAGATTGTAACAACCTTTACAACAACAGCTCAGAGAGTGTGTGGTAAGAAGGCCTATCCCAGTAATGTTAGAAACTACACTCATGAAGACTCACCAACATGACTGCCTGAACATGGGCTGAACAAGGACAACAACAGACACGTCAACTGGACTTCGGAAAGCCCGCAAGACCTCAACCCAACACAAGAACTACAGGCAACTAAGGAATACTGAGAGTTGGAGAAACAGTCTTCCCCAGGGAAAAGCACACCAATTGGTTATCCAATACCAAATGGCAAACCCCAAAAGAATATATACAAGTAACATGTATATACACTGAACAGGTTATATTTAGGAATATATGCATATACATATACGTATGTATATTTAGGAATATATGCATATACATATCCGTATGTAACAATAATTAATGAAAAAAAAAAAAGAGGCCATGCATTTGAAAGAGGGAGAGGAGGGATATGTGAGAGGGTTTGAGGGAGAGGACAAAGAGAGAAATGATGTAATTATTTGTAATATCAAAAATAAAAGATAAATGAAATAACTGGGCATGGTGGTACAGGGCTATAACCCTCATTCGAGGGAGGCGGAGAAAGGAGGATCCCAAGGAGGATGTTAGGCTGAGCTATGTAGCAAATTTCTATCTCAAAACCAATTAAAAACTCAGTGGACTGAGTTACTCCACAACCAGGAGACAAACCGGTGAATTATGGTTATAGACAGGTTTGTAGATCTGGGCGATAATTATCTCATATCTTCCCAAACTATAATTACCACCAATAAATTTTATAGGCGAAATGAAAATAAACCAAACATTACAGTAACGTTTTTGAAAGGTCAAGCTGTGAGTTTTTGTTGTTGCTCTTTCACAATTAGTGAAACAGAACTCAGCAGCAGCATCCCAAAGGTCAGACATCAAATGCTGTGTCCACTGTCTAGACACATGTTCTCATTGCAATGGGTTCCTCAAGCACCCAAGAGAAGCACTCCCAAGGACAGAAAAATCTGATCTGGTTTCTCTTACACTTGTCTGCTATCACCAAATAGCATGTAGGATGTGATCTCTTTCTCTCCTATTTGTATCTTGAGCAAACCATTCAGGCACACAGCAAAGAACCATCCTGCCTTAGGTAAAATTCAGAAAGGCAGAAAGAAGGAAGCTGACAAGAAGGCTGGAGCAGAAAACAGGAACAGCCGAAATGTGGATGTAGCGGAGTGCTGATTAGTGGGAAGGGCAGCCAGCAGTAAAGCCTCTCATACTGGTTAGTAAAACTTGCCAGGCTTTTTTTTTTTTCCTTACCTGAGGACACATATGCTCTTTCAGTTGAGGCTGGCATGCCAGTGGTGAGCTCTGCAAAAAAGAAAAGGTGATAGGCGATTATGGGGTATGGCAGGAGGCTGGGATCCGAGGCCATTGCCTGCCTTCCAACTGCAAATGAGTGTGAGGAAGAAGTGCTGCGTGAAGACAGTCTAAATAAATACTTCTTCTTTCGTGGGAGAAGAGCGTGAGATGAATTATGCTAAGTAACTATGAGGAACCGTTTGCTCCCCCTGGGTTGAATGAGGAAGAAAGCACTTGAGAGAAAGACGGTAGGCTTCTTGGAAAGGAAAAAGAAATGGGGAATTGCGGGAATCAAGGCCACTGTCATACCAAGCCCTGAGGAAGAATTTCTAATGTTGAAGAGTTTTGAAAATTACTGTTTTGTTAAAAAATGAAAGCACACAATGTTCTCTGTCAGGATTGGCACATGACGGCAATTTCTAGTAGGTAATTCTCCATATTGCCACAGTTACTCGAGATGGGAGCATTATCACATGTTGGCCACTCTGGACAGGGCATATGTGAGCAGGTAGGTTCCCGAAGGAATGAAGGATAAACATGCATCAGCCGGAACACCATAATACAGAAACTTATGAGACTTATTTAAGAATCTAAAATTGCTTTCTTAATGCCTTATGGATGTATTAAAGGGGGTTACACTGTCCAAAAAAGCTCAGTATTAAGCCCTAAGACTAGCTTTAGTTTACTAACAGATTCTAGTACTTTTGAAAGGCAGTTTCATGATACTGAGATGATGTAAAGGTATCATTACAGAATCATTCAACCCTGACTGGGTATAAGTTATCAAACAATGTATATTCTTACCCTCCTGAAACAGGACAAAGAGAAGCCAAGTCTCTTGTGATGCTAGTAACCATACAAAATTTACTACGTCTGCCTGAAAATGCTGAGGAGGTCAAATACACTACCATTTTATGTCTAAATTAATCCATGGTTAATCATAGAGACGTACTCATTACTAATGCAATTGTACCATGTAGGACTAGCCTAGCAGGAAGAATAATTGACTGAAATGATAATATTCCATCAACTTCTGAAAATTTTCTAGGGATAAAAGAGTTTGAGAAACTAGAGGGAAAGAAAAAAAAATAAAAAGTCATGTGAGATTCGGAAGAGATGATCAAGTATCATGGGTTCATATACCAAAGATCAGAAATGTGTCTTTTGGTCAACCTGGATGCTAACCTCCTAGTGTAAAGTGTGGATGATCAACCTTCCTTCCTCAGGGGTTCTAAGGACTATCATTCACAGAGTAAGACTGTTTTCAAGACATCTAAGTTTCCTACACCTGTTCTCATGCCCACTAGAAATGGGACAAAGTAAAAGGACTTGACTATGAGGCTTCTTTGAAATTTCTCATACAGGAGGCAGTAGAGAAGATGTTCTCGGCTGACTAAGGGGGCACACCTGTTTCTGAAGCAGCAACAAGTAGCTTTATTGATTTGGGCTGTGAAAAATAAAATAAGGTTGCTCTTCTTTGGAAAAATGTAATCTGAGAGAAACTTATTTTTTTAAACCAAGATTCACAACAGCTGTTCTTCCGTAGGCAGGCCCGCAAGGAGCATAACGCTGTCGAACCGTGCACCCACAGTGGAAGAGGCGCCCTCCTTCTGCCCTTCAGAATACATCAATGACTTGACCACCACATTGATGCCTGACAAGGGTTGGGCAAAGACCCAAGCCCAACTCAATATCAAAATCTTCTTCACATTTATTTTTGGCAAACCAAGTGTTTGTCTACTGTGACCTTCAAAGAAAATTAAGAGAGAGAGGAGAGAGGGAGAAGAAAGGAGAGAGAGGGAGAGAGATTCTCAAAGACTTCAGAGCGGAGGACAGGTTGACCATAACTTCCTGTTATGATTGAATCTGCATTAGACAAATGCTCATAAAAGCAAATGGTTACAAGAAGGATACAGAGGCTACTGAAAATAGCCCCCCTTCCTAAATTACATACTTATCCTGGAGATCTTTAAAATATCTTTAATGACTGTGGTTTCAGTTTAAAAAAAATATTTCCTGAATTAATATTGAGGAAATACAAGCACTGAGCTTAACAAGTAAAACAGTAGACACTTTAAAGAGACTTTTTGCTATTAAGAAAAGTGAATCTTATTAATACAACACAGAAAGCTTTTTTTCCCTGTGTGCAGGATTCAAAGATTTGAACAAAAAACTTGCTGGTTTTCAGCATGATTGGAATTTTACATTCCACTTACAGATTTAAAAATCTTAAGTCCAACAGTCCCCTCAATGAGCAGCTAAGCAAGGTATTTTAGTATACTGAGTTGGCATATTGCATTTGCGAATGTCCGCCCGATGGATGGTGTAAATAGTGAGGCTTTAGAATCACCAGGAATTGAGCACTGTTGACAAACGCATGCTCAGTACACATGGAAACACAAACAACATTGCTGTATTTTTCATATTGGAATAACTTTTAATAAATGGAATCCAGTATCACGTTGCAATAGCTGATAAAACTCTTCTGGAAAATAATTTTTCTAACAAATATGAATGCATGACTTATTTGAGACTTTGTCATGGGCATAATGAGAACATAAATATTCAGAAAAATACACACACCCACATACCATAACACCTGAGCACATTTAATATACATTATGTGATTCTTTACTTTCCCAAACTTTCAAATCTCTACTATTCATACAAAAATTGTGAACAAAATTATTTTTGAAGTGGCTGCAGTGGTAAAACATGAACCTAAGAACATCTTTGAGTATCTGAATTTTAATTGTCCTTAATATATGAGCAGCTGAGAGGTTTTCAAATTAATAATTACTAGAGGGATATTATGCATGATCTGTCATATTCTAATCATATTATTAATGTATGTTAGCTTTTCTGAGCACCATATGTAATATAACATATATGGAGAATGACTAACAAATTTTAAAATCTGTTTGATTTTAGGTAATTTAGTCAGGAGGAAGAGGCAAGGAATTTCCCTTTTAATTTCAGGGCAGTCTGATTTATATAGCAAGTTCTACATCAGCTAGGGCTACACAGTGGGACCCTGTCTCAAAATAAATATATAAATAAAAACTAAATAAAACCTATTTGGTGTTCTTCCCAGCATTACCCCACATGCTATTCAGCAATATATTTCCCTCAACACTGTCTGTGAGAGAGGGAAAGGCCTAGACCTATGACCCACATGAGCCAAATTTTATAAACATTAATTGATAATCCGTTTAAACTTTATTTTTAAAAAATCTTTTCTTTTCCTGTTTCTCAAATGGAAGAGCAATGGCTATGGGCTCAATTGTTCCCATGAGAGCTTGACTCTTATATAATTTTTTTTCTCCTGATTAAAAGAAAAAACTTAAGATAGGACGGAGTAGTTATTTATTCTTCCATATTAACCTTTGAAAAGATAGCATTACCTTAATTAATGTATAAACCAATGAGGTCTGCAGTTCTCACCTTTGACCCTTTATTCTAATATCCAAGAGTATTCCTAGAGCTTGTTAGCTAAGAATTCATTGTGAAATTAGGATTTCTTAGAGAAAGAACGAGCCAAATAACTAGATAAAAAATGAGCCCAGGGCATGTGAGCTGATAGAAATCGTGTGTGGCCTTTGCCCCTGAATTTTATAATTCACCACAGGAAGATTAAGACCTGACATAAAGTGTGTACGAAAATCAACATTAGACACCAGCAGGTTGCAAGGATTTACATATGTTTGCTCCTGCAAATCCTTTTTTTTCAGTTCCTGAACAAGTGGAAAGGCATCAGAAGGGGCAAAAGATAAACAAATTCTTCAGATGTAGCTTAATAAGTGAGTGACTATGTGTGTTTTCTTTTCTAAGTGCTTGAGTATTTTGGCAATATGGTCACTATTTCATTGAGGCAAATGAAAAAAAAAAACAAAAAAAAAACCGACAAGGAATTTTTTAGATTTGTATTATTTCATTTATCTCCAGGTGCTAATCTAGAGAGAGGTGCATAGTCACATGTTGGTGGGCTTTTTCTGTGCCGGTGGAGCAGTGGGCAAGACATCTTTCTGGTCAGGGGTAAACTGTTCGTAAATTCTCTGGGTCAGATCGCAGAGTGCAGCAGAATCTCTGCTAATCATCTGCTTCCTAGCCCAAACGCTGTTGAGATACCAAGGACCCAGCCACGGAATATGGCAAAGTGGGAGCTTAAACCAGAAGCAGAGTTGAAGGCATGAAAAGTGAGGGATATAGGAGATGGTAAGGGTTTGTGGTTGTTTTGTTTCTTTGTTTGTTTGTATTTCAAGTTTAAACCCATCTGAAACAGTTCAAAGGTAGAAGAAATAGAAAGCAGTCACATGACCCCGTTGCATGAGCTTTTTGAGATGCCTGTGTACAAGTCCATCTCCGTGAGGGTGTGATCTTCCCCATCGTCACCCTGTCTCTCTGTCTGACACCACTAAGCCTCCCTGTTCATGACAAGTGACTCTGCCTCAACTGTCTGGGTATTCACATACATTCAGATGTAGAGTGAGCTAATGTGGACTAGGGAGTAAAAACAAACTTAGGTCACATTTTGCTTTCTAGTACTTTTCTTTTCCTAAAATAGTTTTATTTCCCATCGTAAGAACCTCATTCCATTTCGTTTATGAAAAGACATTTTTTTCAGTACAATATATTCTAATCATGTATTCTCCTCCTAGATATTCAGTGCCCTTTGCGAGGGTCGAATGAGGATGACCTACTCTTAACATCCCACCTCTCACTGCTCCTGGGATTCTGTACTCTCCCATTTCTGATGCTGTAAGTGATTAAGAGCCCAGGACAGGGATGGGAAGTAGCTTGGCTGTCTGTCTACTGCTTTCCTAGAATGTAACAGAATTTGTTTTGTTGTTTGTTTGGTTTTTATCTATAAAGCCACTGTATTCACTGAGTGTAGTAGCATAGGCCTATAATCCCAATGCTCCCATGGTAGAGGCAAAATGGGTCGCAAATAAACATCACTCTCTACTGTGTAGGAAATTCAAGGCTAACCTAGGCTACAGGCTCTGCCAGAAAAACAAACAAGCAAAAATAAATCACACACAAAAAAATACTCTATAAAATAGTCTATGAACATCCTTAGGGGGAGGGGTCAGGTTTAAAAAGGAAAAAGAAGTCTCAATATAATAAATGCCTCTAACTTTTTCTTCTCAAAAGTGAAATTTATCAACACTGTATATTCAAATTTGAACTTTAGAGCAGGACTTGAAATTTAATTGGACAGCTTTTTTATGTGAGAAACTTGAGAACGAATATTATCTTTTTTTTTTTTTTTCGAGACAGGGTTTCTTTGTGTGGCCTTAGCTGTCCTGGACTCACTTTGTAGAACAGGCTTGCCTCAAACTCACAGCAATCCATCTGCCTCTGTCTCCCAGAGTGCTGGGATTAGAGGTGCGTATAACCATGCCCAGTGTTATCAAACTTTCACTACTTCCAATTTAACACTAACATAAAAAGACTCTCTAGATTTTTCCTGGACTAATACAGTGGTGGATTGTTACTCTTTAATCCTATAATCCTGAAGCCATGAAATAATCAATATAATCATAGTATAAACAGTGCTACCACCAACTCTAGTTTTATTTTGCTGGGAGTATATAGTATGTATATTCACAAAAATCCAAACTGAGTGCCAGAATCAAAATACATAATCATTTATCATGAAGACATTAAAATACAATGAAGAGAACAACTTTCAAAACATGATATAGAGTTCATGATGTTCTAAAAAAAGAGAAATTATTATGTGATTTTTTTAAAATCATGTTCTATACCACAGTAAAGAATAAGCTACTGAAAAGTATTAATCCCTAAATTTTAAATTCTGTGCATCAATTCTATAAAATTTCAAGTGGAATAAAGTAATAATAGCAAAACGGTCTGATTAACCTGCATTGATTAAAGAGCAAAGAGACATTGTACTTGCTCATATACATTTTACATGGCACTTTCATATTAATTAACATAAGCAGGGCCTCTAAAACTAGTAATTGAAACCACTTTTCATCATTTTTCCTTTACTCCCAACAGAGAGAAGTATCTAAAAGTGAAAAGTAAATCAGCATTGATTACACTCTCCTGGAACTTTCCTTGGAAGTCCAGAGAAGAACCGGCAGACCCTGCTCCATAGTTTTCATTCCATTCCTTTTCCCTGCCATATTGTGTCATGTGAGAATCAAGAGAGAGACTAACCCACTCTCCTAAGGAATTAAACCCTACCATTATTTACTCTTCTGACGATGAGCTGGCATTTTTACCTTACTACTCCAAAAGACCATTTCCTTAGGATAGTTTTTAATCTCTCCCAAGAAGCAGAGAAATCAGGACTGGGATTATAAAAATGCACAATCATTTCAAGCCACAATACACAAAGGGAAGTTCTTGGAGGAGCACCTGAGAGTCCCAAGGTTTGAAGAAGCATTGCTAGGCTATCATCAGCCCCTAGACAAGACCTTCAGAGGGTTGGCTACTGAGTTATAGAAGACAAAAGCCAGCAGCAGCTCCTGCCTTCTGATTTTCTAAGAGGGCTGAGGGAAGTTCTTAACTAGTAGGTAGTACTTACCACCTCTATGTCATTCATTCAGTTAGGAAATCCTCCCAGGAACAGCTCTCAGGAAGCTCAGTAAGACGCCTTTACAAACTAGGAAATTCATTGCTTCTGAGGTGTTTCTAATTTCAAAATTAATAGCGCTAAAAAGTCAATGTATCTAACTTTATTAGCTTGGTGTAATCGCTTTAAAATGCATATTGGAACTTAAAAATGTCAGGACTTGTATATAAATGAAATAGATGTATTCATTCAGGTGCATTCACACACACATATATGATACAGATATATTCACTGTAACTATTTTATGTATGCAGATAATATATATATATATATATATATTCCATTACTATGCAATACACATGTATTGTGTATATCAGCTCACAGAATTAAGACCTTAGCAAAGGACACAAAAGATGCCTCTAGTGTTTGTCTTCCTTTCCCATGTTTTTCATTTGTTCATATTCATCGATTTGTCACACGTCTTGGGCAGCAGGTGTCTTACCGTTTGAGTCAACAATGGTGATGTTGGCAGAAGCGCTGTCATTTCCTAACTTGCTGATCACTTTGCACATATACTCCCCGGAATCGGCCAGCGACGCTTTATTAATGCGGAGTTCTGACTTCCTGTGAGATCGAGACCAGAGCAGTGTAAGCAAGTCGCTGGAGTCCACCTCCACATCGGTCAGTGATAAAATGCACTTTTCTGGGTTCAGGATTCTCAGACTCCCCCTCCTACCCTGCGCATGCAACATGAAACTGTCGCTTGCTATCACGTCAGTTCAGCAGTGTGTTTCTGCCACATCAAACATTGCCTCTGACGTAGTCTTAATTTTATCACATAGGCGGGTAAAGTTGGTCCTCTCTGAACGTGTTCTTCAGTCCTCCACCACCACTCCCGATCATGTTACACCTTAGGTTTCCTTAAAATTAGCTGGCAGCTTTTCTTTCCTTCCTACATCTCAGTGAAGGAAACATGCACACAAGTAACATTGTGTGGACTGACCAGGTTATGTTCAGGAGCACATATGTGTATACATATGTTTATGCATGCTCTAATAATTAATGAAAAAGAGGCCATGAATTTGAAGGAGAGTGGGAACAATGACACGTTATAAAATAACTGAAAGTTTCCCACATTTCTGACAGATAGACAATAAAGTGATCTAAATACTTGATAAATCGTTTCCATAGAAATTACAATGATTCTTAATGTTACTCCACTGAGAAGTGCAAAGCTTTCTTATCTATCCTAGACCTCACTAAATGTTTCTTTCTACTAGGACTTAAAAAAAAAACATTTTATTTCTTCCAAACCTTTATCCTTATTTTTAAGATTATAATTTATTATGACATTTCCTCCCTCCAAGCCCTAAATACCATTCACCCCTTCCCACTCTTCTTCAAATTCATGATCTCTTTTCCTTTTATTTCTTTCTCTTTTTTCATTCCCAGAAGAAAAGAAAGGTATCTTCCCTGAAGTTGCCATTGCTGGCCACAAGGTACCACACAAATAATTGTTAATCCTGGAACAAACATTCCTGCTACAGTAGCACGATGTTATAACCCTCTGAACACTAAATCAATACTCACCATTTCTTTAATATGGATACCATTGGGATGTGCACTTTGTCTCCTTTGTTGTATCTAATCTAAGCCTGATATCTAAACTGTCTTTGAGTTACAAAAATTCGGAACTACCAGAATTGGCTCAGTGTGGTGGAAATTGGGGAGCCCATGCTGACCCAAAATTCATTTCAGTAAGGATAGCTTGAATTCATGGCAAACCTCCTGATCAGTGTGGTGAAGAGGTAAGGCCTCCACATATTCATGTGTTTCAATGCTTGGTCCATAGGGAGTGGCACTAGTAGGAGGTGTGGCCTAGTTGGAGGAAGTGTGTCACTGTAGATGTGGGCTTTGCGGATATAGATGCTCAAGTCTGGCTAGTGTGACTCAGTCTCCTCTTGGCTGCCTATGGATCAAGATGTAGAACTTGGCTCCTCCAGCACTATGTCTGCCGACACTCTGCCCTGCTTCCTACCATGATGATAACAGAGTAAACATCTGAAACTATAAGCTAGCCCCAATTAAATGTTTTCTTTTATAAGAGTTGCAAGGTCAGGATGTATTTTCACAGCAATGAAAACCCTAACTAAGACACTCAGTCTCCCAAGTGATGGGATCATAAACATGAGCCACCACTCTATGCTTACTATCCGATGTTCTGTTTTTGGCATCTGGAGTCATGCCCTGTAGAGAGGACAATAGAGAGGAAAGAGAGAAGGAAGGGAAAATGGCAATATTTGTGGGCTGCTCTCATGCTTTGCTATTTTCTCTAAATTTTATGGTATTTTTGCAACATGGTATTAATCATCAGGTAGATACTATGGTTCCAAATTTTATTCTTCCTCCTCACTAGCCTAGAACGTGGCATCACACAAAATTCTACACATATACCCTTGTGCCTCTGATAAGTCATACTTTTCCCCAACATTGAGTGTCTTGTGTGTCTACTTTAATGATCTTAGTGATCTTCAAAGGCTATCTTTAGTGCTAAGCCCTTTGTTGTACAGAAATTTTAATCAATCAACATGGCTGCTCTGGCAAGGTATCATATCCAAATACCTTCTAGGTCTATGTGATGGAATGCAGACACACTCTGGAGTTGGCTGGAATACAAACATGTCCATAGGATACATCTTTAATACCAAACAATGAAGATAAGGTGAGTTTATAGAAGGAAGCAGCCATCTTTGAAAATGATGTCTAATTGAGGGGCAGACCAAGTGACAAATCAGAGAAAAATATGACAGAGAGTCAGAGATAGGATATGCCTGACTCTCATGAGAATAGAACAGGAAAGAAAGGCTACTGAAGAGCATCTCAGAGTGTAAGAGGGGCCTTCTTACTGAGTGGTTTTTACTGGGACAGTTTTATAGACTCAGGTTGCAGAGAGAACAAGCTAGACACAGGTGAAGACAGAAAGAGCCAGAGAATGAAGAGCTACAATATTAAAACATATTATCAGAATTAGTTTGAGGTAGCACAATTCAGTCAGAAGCCAAGAAATGCTGGTTTGAGTCAGTCAGTTTGGAGAGGAGTTTGGGCCAGAACAGCTGAGTTGAACCAGCAAGCGAGAGTTTAGAAAGAGATAAAAAGGCTTAAGAATGGCTCTCAGCTCCTCCCCTCCTCTGAGGCAATAAAAACAACATTTATACTTTGTTAAGCTTTTCATGATCAGACCATGCAACTGAAGCTTCTTTCTCCATATCTAAATTCTGGCCACTTCTGCTGGCATTATTGTGAAAACTTTTCACTGTACTTTTCTCACCACATCTCCTGTCCAGACCCAGTACACACGCTTCTGAGCAGACAGTAATTTTAAACCACTGCTGTCCTCACAACAGCACAACACACTATGCTGTCCCTGGCTGGTCTTCAGGCAATACTGGATACAAACATGAATGGGCCAAAGAAGTGTTCAGATGTTCCTGTTCATGCCATCACAGGACCAAACATCCCTAATGCAGAGAGCGGTAAGAGAGATGGAATGTGAAAGGGGCAGTGATAGTTTTAGGTGGCACAGACCCAGGGGAGCCATGGCCAGATCAACTTGTCTGAAAAGTTACTTCTGCTAGATGTACCAACAAAATGGTACAATTTACCCGTGTTGGGGGTAGAGGGAGTAACCATAACAGATGGGTTCTATACTCAAAAACCTTGGAAAATATTAAAGTCCGCCCCTCAAGTTTTTCAGAATCTTTACTATAACTACAAGGCTATCCAGTAAAATCTCTCAACTTGATCAGTGCTTTTTCTTTCACATAATATACCTATTCATACTTTCGGGTAAATAATGGTCCCCAGAAGAAATTGTCAGATGTACTATAATAGCTTTGTTTATCTAAGTAACTGAACCAGCCAGGACTGTTTGAGAAATAGTTGTGCATTAACCACAAAGGATCCTCAAAGACAAGTTTCCCTAAGGTACCTCTGAAAAGCAAACTGGACCATGTTCACCCAAAATATCACGACAGGGAGAAAGATATTCCATGCTAATAATAAGTAACAGCCCCTAAAATAATCAAACTGCAACAACATTGGAGCGTCCCTTCTCAGGTTCTTCTGTCACTGTGCCAGGCTTTAGAATACTCAAATACACATTTCCTAATGAATTAACAACTTCATTATATACTTGGTCCATCTGTGATCACTTTCCTTCATGGTAAATATTTTTGAAGAAAAGAAATAAAAGCATAAACACTGTAGTAAGATTTTTATTTTTTTTAGCCAAAAATATAGTAAAGTTTTCTGAAAGAATTTTTCTGTCTCATTTGTGAAATAACAGATGGTAACAACAAATTGTGAAGAAGATCAGAAAATATCCTGATTGTCAATATCAGAGGAAAGGTATTTTTCTGTTTTTTATCTTTTTTTGTTTTCTTTTTTGGTTTTAATTTTTTCAAGGCAGGGTTTCTCTGTGTAGCCTTGGCTGTCCTGGACCCCCTTTGTAGACCAGGGTGGCCTTAAACTCACAGAGATCCACCTGCCTCTGCCTCTCTGATGGCTGGGATTACAGGTGTGCACCACCATGCCCAGCAGATGGTAAAATTTTTAACATAAAAAAATGGACTTTTTATGTTAAGACCCAAAATTCTGAAATCAGACAATTAGAGCAATATTCCAAGACTGTATAGCAATCAAGAAGCCCCAATCTTCCCAATTATAAATCTAGGAACAACCATATGTTGGTATATAAAGACCTCTCTCTTGACCCTGCACAATTTAATATTTTAACTGTTGAACTGGAGTGAACTATAAGAAAAAAGGTAATTACATTTCCAGTTGACATAATCTTTAAAGGATACTTCTAAAACCTAAATGCTCCTGATAGGCCTGGGCGGGCCATGCTTCCTGGAAGACAAACTTCAGTAATACAATCACATGGTATGACTGGACAGAAGGTGGGTCATTTCCTGTGTTCAAAAAGAGGTCTCAATATCAGGGCTTCTCAGGAGTTTCATACAGGCCTCTAAGGTGTACTTCCAAGCCAAGCATTAGGTGTGGCCATGCCATAACTGCCATAGAGCATGTTCCTGGGAATGTCGGACAGAACATCAATAGCCCAAGAGCAAGATTCCGCTCGATCAAGACATGCCTAACAGATACGATCAGGTTCAGAAACCAGTGTAAAAACACCCAAGGAGTAAGAGATGTAGCAACTCCAAGGCACAGACAAGGTGGATTTCAAGTAGCCTATCTCTAACCCAGCTTTTTAAAGACAGTCTTTCTTAAAAACTGAGAAATTTGACCAAGTTTCCCAACATAGGCCATTTAGGAGAAGGTCTCCATTCAAGCAGCTTATGAATGTGTGCATTTGTAGGTGAGTGTGTATGCACGTCTTCAGTTTTGCTTCAGAAGTCAAGCTGCTGTCAGTGAGAAGGATGCAGAAGAAGAAGTGGACCTTATTAGACAATAGAACCGGACACCATACTGAATGTCCACGTAAACCATACAAAATGGCTACCTGGCATATAGGAAAATTAGGATTTCTCACATAGCATTCCAATGCCCTGCCGAAGTGTTTCAGCAGCTAAGAAAGGGACTATAAGTAAACCTTTCTGATATAAAGCTCTTTGTCCAAAGTGTGGCCAATGAAAACAAGACAATCTCCAATTCATTCATTCATTCATTCATTCATTCATTCATTCATTCATTCATTCATCCATCTCTCCCTGTGTAGAGAGGAGCTCTTCCCACCACCCCTGTGTGGAAGTCAGAGGACAGCCTGTGGGAATCAGTTTTCCCCTTCTTTCTTTATATGGGTTCTTGGGTTTGATTCCAGGTCACCAGGCTTGGTGGCAAACATCTGGATCCTGCTGAGCCATGTCACTAGCCCCAAAGCAGCTATTTGCTAAAATCTTCAAACGGTTTTTGAATAAGCAAAACCACTTCTCCAAACCAAATGAAAGTACAGGCTGAAATGAAAAGCTGAAGCAAAATCAGGGTTATATAAACATGTGTGAGAGGTTTGCATTTCACAGGGCTAATCCAGAGGAGATATTTCAGTGAAGCCAATCTGCCAGGCCCAAAGCCTTCTACTAGTTTTCTTAATCCAAATCATCCACCAGGCACCGACAACAGAAATAGAGGAATAAACAGATACACAACAGAGAGGTTCCCATTTCTTTTAATTGGTCCCACACTTGCCAAATAAAGCAAACAAAGGCTTAAATATGAATTCAAACTCAGGACAGTCATTTCTTAGGAAGAGGAAGGGATCAAGAGGGAGGTGAGTTTGCACAATGACAGAAACTACATATTGGTATGAAATCTTTGCATAATGCTAAGGGATTAAAAGGAAATTTTGGCTGCCATGTACAATCTAGAGAATAAAAGAGGACAAAGCCTAGACTAAGGACTGAAGGAGTCAACATTTGATCTAAACAGTCTCCCAGGGAAAGCCTACACCTCAAATTAAAATTCACCTCTGCTTAGTTATTCACAGCCAAAGATTAAGTTTAAGTCTCATGACCAGCTAACCAATGCAACATATTCCTAGTCTTGGGATCTAGGTAACGAAAAGTATTATGTGTATTTGAACATGAAAATAATGGCTTTTACTGATAGCCTGAGTTTATGCCAACCTCTGTATTCTGAATTCATATAATAAAATCACAGGTAGTTATGAAGTAACATGAATGCTAGAGTAGGGCCTATTTAAATCCGAGGTTTATTTATTAAATTTACGACCTATAGAAAGAAGCTTATGTAAATTCATTCTCAAGGGGTGATTGTTTTTTAAATGGCATAATAATCATAATGCTCATTCTGTTTGTTTATAGGATAAGCAGAATAACAGAGCATTTTGCTGATGTTAAACTTAGACTTTGTTGGTTGGATACTCCAAAATCTGACAGCACTATTTTTAAAGAGCTTCAGAAATGATAAACCTTCTGATTGTGAAAATCAATGAACTGATCTTTGCTTTTTGTGCCAAGAGTAATTTACAATCACATGGCTTGAATAAATTTCTCCCCATTTATTTCTTGGCCGTGAAGCTGGAATTGAGGTGAATAATTTCTGAACATTCGCCTTTCTGGTGTGGTGCGAATTATATTAGTATGTAGACAGTGCTCAAAGCTGTCTGGACCCATGCAGTCAATATGAAAATGCCTTCCTGAATGCTAATGGTACTTTAGATGTTACCCAGCCAGGCAATTGATTAAGCTTTTACGTGCATATGTGTCCTCTTCAGAAACACACTTGTATTAAGTCTTCTCGCATCTCTGTTCCTTTTCCACACTATTTACCCAATTTTACTTGTGGTTTTTTTTTTTTTCCACATATGAAATGCAGGATATGCATTCTTCAAAAAGTTTATGCTCCCCACTCAGCCCAAATCAGCCTCTCCTCCATGCCCCTCCATCTTTGACTCCAATAGTGTGTTTCGGCACACAAGTCTGTAATTCCCATGTTTTATTAGGACTAAAATAGATCCTCTCCATACAAGCTGAGGACTGCCTATGCACAGAGAGGAGGTCTTCCACTTCTCTCACTGGCTACATCCTGGCATGAAGCCTCTCACAAACTCTTAAATACTATTGCTATTAGTGGGCCAGCTCATAACTAGGAATGTTACCTGGCATGCATACATAACGTAATTTGTCCGGTTGATAAAGTCAGAACTAACTGAAAAACCTGTTCAATCCTGTAGCTACACGTATCTTAACTTCCATGAAGAATCATGTTTATCTTTTCAACTCTTCTGCTATTCCCTGATTTCTCCTCCTCCCTCCATGATTCCCACTTTCCAAGATACAGTATGGGGTAAGTATGGCTTTTTATTTTTTATTTAAAAAAAAAAAAACTGAGTTTTATTTTAGTCTTTTTGCAATTTCTGTGACTCTAGGTAAAATATAATATATTTGACTCTTGATTTTTCTTTTCAGTTTTTTGTAGTTGTTTCTAAACAGGATCATGCTATGTAGCTCAGCTAGCCTTAAGTATGTGGTAATCTTGCTTCATTCACCTTTCAAGTCTGGGGTGCAGGGGAGTGCCAAGCTTGACTCTCAGTTTTCCAGGCTACAAAATGAGTCATCACACGCCAACTACTCTAATTTTGGGGTGGGGGGAGTTAGACAGGTTTATTCTGGGTAGCTTCGGCTGTCCTGAAACTCACTGTACAGACCAGGCTGGTCTCAAACTCAAATGAACCTCCTGCCTCTTGAGCGCTGGGATTAAAGGCATGTGCCACCACCCAGTCTAGTACTGCTGTTGTTTCTAAGTAACATTATGTTAAAAAAAAAAAAAGTGTCTTGGCTCTTGATATTATTATGTGTTGTATCTCTGAAATGTCACCCACTGCATATGTGACCCCCCCTTTTTCTCACTCTCAAACATATTTCCAAATCAACAGATCTTGCTGACATGATCAATAACAAGAGTAAGTGGTATAATTAATAAAGCCATGAGAACTAGGAAAAAATCCCTAATTATCGTCATCGGAGTAATTAAACAGTTTGATATCATTCAATTACATTCTCATTAGAATCAGTATGTTCTCCCTTGCTCATGAGTGTGTGACAACTTTTTGGTAGACAGCTCATGAGATCCAAAGAAAGAAGGGGGTTACTTCTGCTCTTGCTCTTGATCTCAAAGCCTGCGACTTTAAGAGTCTTCTCCGAGGAAACACACTGATGGTGTCCTATTGATTGATGAATTACTTAGAAGTAAAAAAAAAAAAAAAAAATGTAGCATGTTATTCTCTTCCCTGATTTCCTCAAATGTATTTTATCCCTTGTGGAAGGAAGTCTGAAAGAACAAAATAGATTAAAATGAAGACTTCTGGGATACTAGAAGCTGCATCAGTGTAGAGTAGACCTCTAACAGAGCCACCAAGGCATCATTGGTGTCTCATGGAGTGCTTTAGGCATGGCCATGCTCAGGAGGCAGAAGACATGAGGGTTTTGTTCGCAAAGATTACTGCGTTGTCTAAATCTGCTGTAATATTGATGAACTTTAATAGAATTTTTGGCTAAAAAAAATGTTATCATGTAAGACAGAATTATATGTGTTAATCATTTGTTTGAAAAACAGTTCAAACCCACAGCATTTTGAGGTATATACAGAAGCTGACATTCTGATTGCATTAGGCATGGGCACTAAAACATCACTTGTTTTATTTTAAGGAGACTGAATCTCATGTTCCATGAGTATTACACGAAATGCCACTAACTCCATCTTTCTTCTTCCCTCCCAGCCCCACCTGACTTCTCACAGCTTTCTCTTTGGGCCCCATTTCTTCCTCCAAAAGTTGTAAGAACCATAAACCCCCAAGTTCTTTTCTATTCGATAAGACCACCACACAATCAAAACTTCCTGACCACCATACAATCAAAAATCTTTCCAATCATCATATAGCATGTTTTACTGCAAATTTACTACCAGGGCCTTTCTAATTTTTTGTTCTACAATATCCTGTTGCTATTGGTATGGATTGTATTGCTAAATGCATTTTACTTACCCCGGCTTTTTCTGTATCTTGACATTTTGTGGTTTATTTTTTCGGTTCAGCTCATTCCCATTCTTGAACCATTTGAATCTGAGTGAAGAGTATTCAGAACTGGTTTCACATCGAAGTACAAGCTTGGAGCCCGCAGCTGACTCCTGGCTCTTCATCTCTTTCAATCTGGGAGGCAATGCTGAAAAAGGAAAAAGAGAAGAAAAAGAAAAATCTATGATCATCAGGCCTTTCAAGAGGAAACATATTAATGTTGAATGATCTTGATCCGGTCCCAGTACCAAAAGTTTACTAACCAAGGCAAAAATAAATGAATAAATTTAAACGAGTGGACCAAAATGGATCCCAACAACTAGCAAAAATAAAATAAAATAAAATAAAATAAAATAAAATAAAATAAAATAAAATAAACTCAGCACAAAAAGAGAAGGGGAAGGAACCTGGATGATTAATTCATTCCTCAAAACACATTCTCCACAGTTACTTCCTTAATTTAACAAATCTGTTGCTAAGAGGGGTGCAGCCACCTTCATCTGCCACATCAGACATTAGCATAACTCTGGAGGAGGCCCCGGGAGCACCACATCCACTTTCTAGTTAGAAACTGATTTCAGAATAAACTCTAACTTAGGTTGACTTCTTTCTCTTGGTTCTAACATCTGTAGAGACTCACATCAAGCTCATCTTACACAGAATCGCACACAGGTGTCCCTCCAAAGCCATGTTGTCCCTCTCTGCAAGTCACAAGCCCATCAGCAACATTGCTCCTGATTGGGCCTGCAGTTGCTAGCCCAGAGAGAGTGGCAGACCATTCCAGAGGACCCTTCCCAGCATGCTCTGGATGCTGCACACAGTTAGCACCTCCAAATCTTCACAAGAGAAGCTATGTATAGATAACTGCACTTTGATTTCTAGGATAGGTTGCATGATCCTACAAAGTATACACATCATTTTGACTTATACAAAACCGCCTATGTGCTAGAATGTGTATGCATAAAAATCATCCAGTGATTAGTGAGTAATAAAGCAGCATAAATGTGAAAACACAAGATCAAGAATCTGAGTGATGGCTTGTCATAAAAGTATACAGGGTGTATTTGACTTTTTACAATAACTGTTTTTAATTAAAGAATAAAAAGATGGCTTTTATCTATGCACACAAATGTGACCAACTATCACAGAGCCCGAGACCTTAACAGCTCATAATTTCTTCTGAGTCTTGCAAAGGCCAATGACAAAGTCTACTTTTCTGCTCAGTTCAGGAATTAACAGGAAATCCCAGAAAACAAACCCAAGAGATGAGATTCTACCTCTCTGACCCAGTGCAAAATTACTCCCTGGGTAAGGACCCAGGGCCCAGGGACACAATCAAGGCTGCCTTTCACGTGAGCGCGAAGTGGGTTCCTATAAAACAGGGTCAGATGGAAGGGGAGGAGGCCCTCCCCAATCAGTGGACTTGGAAAGGGGCAGGGAGGAGATGAGGAAGGGAGGATGGGATTGGGAGGGAATGAGGGAGCGGGATACAGCTAGGAAACAGAGTTAATAAAATGTAACTAAAAATAAAAATTAAAAAAAAAGAAGTGGGTACCTGCCTAATCTGGCTTTTATTTTTCTACAATGCTGTCCTTATGAAGTAAACCCCCAAACTGTCAGATGTGAGCACAGGAATCAAAGTGAAAACTTTCGAATGCTACAGTTTCTTAGTAGTATCCCAGTAGATATAGAACCCGCTCATTTTTCTGGGGGCTGGTACTGCCACAGTAACCCACTATGGCAGACAACAGAGCAGGTTAGGAAACTTATCCAGCCGTTCCCAGCTTTCCGTACTTGAAGACTACATCTGTTTTTTTGTTTGTTTGTTTGTTTGTTTGTTTTCAGCACCAACCATCACCCATCTTTTCTTGACAGCTTCAAAGTAAGACTTGCTTTCTGAACAAACTCCACAGAGTTTTTGCTTTTGGGGCTATGGTTCTCAGTTCTGCTTTAACATTTCAAAAACACTTTATTTCTGACAAGCGCCAATATTTATCTCCATTAGCTCCTTAAGGCCATTTCTAATTTTTTGACTCTGCTGAAAGGTTTGGAAGAAACAAACAGAAGAGAGAACCAAATGGCATCAAAGAAACTGGCCTGTATGAATTTTGTTGCACACATTCACAAACTGAAAGAATGAGTGTATGCTTTCCAGCTGGATCGTGAATTAAAGCTGAAACTCTACCGAGATTCTCAAGGTCTGGTCTGGTCTTTTGCTTTAATAAGCAAAATGTCCCACGTAGTTAGATATACTTGAACCCCAGCAAGTCTGGGTTTGCTCTTCTACCTCTCCAGGCATTTGCCTGTCAAACTCAAACACAACTACAAAGAGTGAACACAAACGACAAGTGTTGTCGCTTATTTGCATAAATATTTGCTCATGAAGTAAGTGTCTAGTTTTCTCCCTCCCTTCACTTTATCCTTATCTCTCACATCTTTTTCTTCTTCATCTTCTGTCAGCTATTTATTTTTTTTTTTTTATTTCCTCATGTTGTGGTGAATCCCCAACCATAGGATTATCTTTACTGCTACCTCACACTGTGATTTTGCTACCTTTGTAAATCGTAATGTAAACATCTGTGTCTTCAGCTGATCTTAGGCAACCCCTGAGAAAGGGTCATTAGACCCTGCCCTGGGAGGTCGAGACCCACAGGTTGAGAACCACCACTCTAAAGGCCCGTGTTCCAGGCTTTCCTCTGCATTCCTCAGATGTGCTCATTGCTGCATGTTAAACTTTCCCAGTTCCTCGACAGCACAGATGTGGGATACACTGCATGTGCTCTGTGGTCCTGGAGATCAACTGCTGAAATTAAACAGGAAATCTGAAGACTGTCATCAAATAGCAGTGGTGCTTCGGCTGCAGTCCCAGGAAAGTTGTCCCTTTATAAAGCCTGTCCCCTACGCAGGGAGGTGTGTGCATACACCTGTGTGTGTGTCTGCCTGCATGCAAGCGCACCCGAGCGTGTGTGTGTGTGTGCGTGTGTGTGTGTGTGTGTGTGTGTGTGTGTGTGTGTGTGTGCGCGCGCGGCGCATATAGAAACTATATCCAATTCCCAACTGTCTTAGCTGAAAAAGAGGACACCAGAAACCTATCCCTTCCACAGGTTGGCGGAAAACCTAAGCATGAGAACTGGAGAAATGACTAGTCACACCAGCATGGCAACATTGATAGGGGAACACCCACATAAAGAGCCAGGCACAGTGGTGCATGCCTGTAATCCCAGGGCTAGGGAGATGGAGACAGTCAAGTATGCGGCCAGCTAGACAAGTCTAATCGGTGAACTTCAGGTTCACTGAGGTCCTGTCTTAAAAGATAGTGGAGAGAGATTATGGAAGACAACAGGTGTTCACCTCTGGCCTCCACAGTGATACGTACGCATGTGTGCAAACACGTGTACAAAATATGCAAATACAAAGAATAAAGAGCAGAAATAGAGAGGAGAAGAGAAGGAGAAGAGGAAGAAGAGGAATCAGGAAGACACTAGTAAGGAGGAGAGCCACAGCCAAAACTTATTCCAAAGGCCATGTTTAACTTCTCAAAAGAGTTTATTAATTGGGATTAAGGGGCTTGGTGGCACGGATTTTTTGGGGGGGTTTGTATTCTATGGAACTCTACCCCATATACTGCACTGTCATACACCATTCATAAAATGCAAAGCCACTGGAAGATTATGAAGTCCGCTGTTTTTACTTTGAATTCACTGTGTTCTTCTGAACTTTCCGTACACCATTAGATTGCATTGACCTGTCTCAGCTAAATCCCTTGTCCTGCACCTTCCACAAATGTATCTCAGCATCCCTCAGGTCTTTTCCCAGTGATCAAGCTATCATCCATGCTACAAGAGCACCCACATGTCACCCTTATCCCCTGCCTTCAGGCCCCAGGCTTTCCTCTCTATCAGCTGACTCCTGTCTACATGGCCTGCAGCTACTCCCTGCCTCCCGAAGAGAACTTCGCTGTCCCATATCCCCAAATGTATCATTTGTGTCCAGATCCCTTTCCTTTGAGAAGTCCTGGCTCAGACATCACTTGAGGTGGATGTTTAGTATTTCCACCTGCTGGAGGAGAAATGGCAGCTTGTTCTCACATGTGTGTGGCTTTGCAAGAACCATGACCGAACCCAGCACATTTCTCTACACAGTGGCACCTTTGCAGGGCTTGAAGTAGATAGAAAAGGAGGGGCAAAGGACAGCAGACTAAGAATCCAGAAAGGTCATGTCTGTTTCATTTCATAGCAACTGCAATAATTTTTACATTATTATAATGATTATATTATTATTATATTAACAAACACCAAGTCACTTTTCCAAAATTTACAACAATGTACATTTCTAAGGGAAAAATGTGTGCAAATTCATAGGTAAGAGCAACGTTTCATACTCAGAATTGATGTTATGTTTGCTGCAATTAGCCAGGCTTCTTTTCTATACTGTTCGAAGCCATGATCCTCCTGTGTCGCCAACCTGGGATTACAGGTGTGAACCACACGACTCACCTACAACTACAGCTGCTGAAAATACTGATCAATTCTCAGTCATTCACTTGAAGTAATGCATGAATAGTGCTCGCCAAAGCAAAAGAAATGATGTTAAATAAATTCCTCTTAGCACTTTCGTCAACAAATCCCTTCAGGATGGTAAGAGGTAATTGAGCGTCTGCTACGTGCCAGGCTCTGGTATACTCATTACCTCCTGTTACATAACAATTTGAGGGTGTGAGTGTCCCTGTCCTTATGGCAAATTTGCAGATGACGAAATGGAAACAGAGAAAAAGAGTGACTTGCCTGTCAATCACACGGATGGTATTCTGGAGCCGGGCTCTGAGCACACAAACCTGACCCTGGAGCCCTTGCTTCCATGACCAAGCCAGCCGTACTTTGCAGTTCTTCATATCTTTCGGCAAATAAAAAAAGTCCCCAAGATTGAATTAAATTATTTCGTAATACTATTTGTCCCCCAAATTCTAGGCTACATCAAGTGGTGGATCCTTGATGTATTTATTCCAAATATGAAAGATAGTCTGGGAGATAAAGGCGAGCTGCACAATATTGCTGCGATTTCTGAGCGACCTTAATAACCTACGGGAAAATAAAAGAAAGCAGAATACTTGAAATTGCTATGATCAAACAGAAAAGAGTGCTTCAGACT